GGGAGGACTGACAGGAGGTGGTCTCGCAGCGACACCGCCCGGTGGGAAGACCGACTGGGAGGACTGACAGGAGATAGTCTCGCAGCGACACCGCCCGGTGGGAGGACTGACTGGGAGGACTGACTGGAGGGGCGTCTCGCAGCGACACCGCCCGGTGGGAGGACTGGCTGGAGGTGGTCTCGCAGCGACACCGCCCGGTGGGAGGATCGACTGAGAGGACTGACCGGAGGGGGCTCGCAGCGCCACCTCCCGGTGGGAGGACTAACGGGAGGGGTGTCTCGCAGCGACACCGCCCGGTAGAGGACTGATGGGAGGGGATCTCGCAGCGACACCGCCCGGTGGGAGGACTGATTGGGAGGACTGACAGCAGGTGGTTACGCAGCGACACCCCGCGGTGGTAGGACCGTCTGGGAGGACTGACTGCAGCGACACCCCGCGGTGGGTGGTCAACCTGTGTAATTGCCTCCCCCAGAAGGGTGTGGAAAGTGGGACACTGAAAATATTCCAGACACAGATGGATAAATGAATTGAGATATTAAAGGCATTGTAGGAATATGGGAATACGGCTCCGAGACAGAGAAGCAGCCCCTGATCCTATTGAATGGGGGAGCAGGCTTGAAGGGCTGGATGGCCTGCTCCTGGTTTCTGTTTCTGGGTCTTCCTCTCTTCCTCCCCACTGCATGTCCATCGGTCTCTCCCTTGTGCTCTCTTTCTCTGCCCCTCTCTGTCTTTCTCTCTTTTGCCCTCTCTTTCTGTCTCCATCTCTCTCTCCTTCTCTCTGCCTCTCTTTCTCTCTATCTCTCTTTCTCCCTCTCTGTCTCCCCCTCAACCTCTCTCTGTCTCTCCCTCTCTCTCTGTGTCTCTCTCTCTCCTTCTGCCTCCCCTTAAAATGCATCTGGGTGGGTACACGAGCAGCAAGGGTTTAGACGGGATTCTAGGACCAAAAGGGCATAATTTCAGAATAAAGGTGTGTGCCTTGTAGAGGTTTATAAAATCATGAGGAGTATAGGTAAGGTGAAAGGTAAGTGTCTTTTCTGTAGGGTGGAAGATTTGAAGACTGGAGGCATATTTATGAGGTGAGAGGAGAAAGATTTAAAAAAAGACATGAGGAGCAACTTTTTTTACACATTTCATGCGTGGAATAAACTTCCAGAGGAAGTGGTGGATGCAGGCACAGATGTAACCCTTAAACATCATCCAGATGAATAAATAAACAGGAACATTTTGGAGGGATATGGGCCAAGTGCAAGTGAATGGGATGAGTTTAGTTGGGGATTATGGTTGGCATGGGCTGGTTGGACCGAAAGGTCAGTTTCTGTGCTCTATGACTCCATGACTCTAGGTGTCAGGCTCCTCAGTCGTTTGAGGAGGGGGATATATGTGGGCCACCCCCTTTCCTGTAGCTGTTTAGTTGTCCATCTCCAATCATGGCTGGAGGTGACCCCCAGGGTTTCAAACAGATGTCCTCAAACTCAACTAGTTTGTGTCCCAATGCAACAAGACTTGGACAATACTGAAGTTTTGGCTGATGCAGAGAAAGGAACTTCTGTGTCACACACATCTTCAGAGAAGGTACCGACTGACAAAATGAAATCAAACCACTGCCTCTTGATGGTCCCATTGCTGAATCTCGCAAAGCGACATCTCGTGGGGGTGGCAGTTCACCAGTAGCAGAAGCTGAACTGCAGCATAAATCCTGGGGTGACGTCAGCAGGGCAGAGACTGGGAATTCCGTGGCATTAACACTGAAGGTGTGAGGAGGAAACAACCCGTTTGGAAACAACCCACCACACTGCTGGATGGCAATTACAAAGAGATCTTGATCAATTAGGTCAATGGTCTGAGGAGTGGCAGATGAAGTTCAATTTGGATAAATGTGAGGTATTGCAATTTGCTAAAACAATCAAGGACAGGGCTCACAATTAACAGTAGGACCTTGGGTAGTGTTGCAGAACAGATAGACCTAGGAGTTCAGGGACATAATTCTTTGAAGTTTGTGTCACGTGGAGACAGGGTGGTGAAGAAGGCATTTGGCACGCTTGCCTTCATTGCTCAGACCTTTGAGTATAGCAGTTGGAAATGTCATGTTGAGGTTGTACAGGACGTTGGTGAGGCCTCTTCTGGAGCACTGTGTCCAGTTTTGATCGCCCTGTTAGAGGAAGGATATTATTAAGCTGGAGAGGGTTCAGAAGAGATTTACCAGGATGTTACCAGGAATGGAGGGTTTGGGTTATGTGGAGCTGGATGGGCCGGGAGGCTTTTCACTGGAGGTTAGGAGGCCGAGGAGTTACCTTACAGAAGTTTGAAAATTATGAGGTGTAAAGATGAAGTGAATGGCAAGTGTCTTTTCCCTAGGGTGGGAGATTTCAAGACTAGGGGGCATATTTTTAAGATGGCAGGAGAAAGATTTTAAAAAAAGACAACTTTTTTTACACAGAGAGTGGTTCATAGGTGGAATGAACTTCCAGAGGAAGTGGTGGATGTGGGTACAGTTACAACGTTTAAAAGACATTTGGATAAGTACATGAATAAGAAATGTTTGGAGAGACATGGGCCAAGTGCAAGCAGGTGGGTCTAGTTTAGTTTGGGATTATGGTCGGCATGGACCGGTTGGGCCGAAGGGTCTGTTTCCGCGCTGTATGACTCTGTGACTCTATGGTGGGTTTGCTCACCCCTGTACAGACTGCAGTGCCTCAGTGAGGCAGCTCATCGCTACCTTCTCAAGGCCAATTAGTGTGGAGCATTAGATATTACCTTGGAAGGGAGGCATACATCACATGAATGTCTACCAATAATGGGCCAACACTGCGAGAGACACGCACAGGAAACAGGGACACATGTTACCCATTCTGACTCCTCACTGGTGATGAAATAGTGGACACTTGACACAGAATCAACTGCAGAGTAATGGAATCTACATCATTGATGGAGAATGTAAGAGTTGCTTCATTAGGTGATGAAATGAGGCAGTGCAGATTTCAGGCACACGTGAAAATGCTGTGGCTTTAAGAGGTATATTTTGTACGGATTTCTTTTAGGAGAGAGATTGAACGAGAGGTGCTGAGCAGTGTGTGGTAATGAGAGCAGTGTGTGAGGCTTTGGTTTTTCTCTAAAGTGGGAACAATAGAAGCAGCCTGGCAGGGTGCAGCCAGCTCTCACAGACCAGACTTCTTAGTTTTGAGACAACAAGGTGCAGGGCTGGATGAACACAGCAGGCCAAGCAGCATCATAGG